TCCTGCTGCTTTTAGACATACTAACACTTCCTCTACAGCAGGAGAGTTTTCTATTCATTTTAAAAACTCTGGTCTGTATTTGGTAGATGAATACTCCTCTTACGAATCCTGAGGAACTACTGAGTTCATTAACAACCACTTGCCAGGATATATTGGATTTTATCGCCCCTCTTCGACGCAGACCAGCCAAGGTGCAAACAGTGCCCTGGCTAAACAATTCTACTCGGGCACTTAGACAAAGATGTCGGCAAGCTGAATGCAAATGGAAGAAGGATAAACTTCATGTTTCTCTCCACTATCTCTGGGATTGTCTCTCTGAATATCAGAAGGCTGTAAAATCTGCCACATTGAGCTACTTTTCCAGCATTGTCACCAGCAATTGTCATAAACCTCAGGTCTTCTTTAGTACAATTAATTATTATCAACCTGTGTAACCTTGCTTCTCATCCCGAGAGCCATCTGTAGCAGTTTGTGAGGGTTTTCTTCTATATTTTACTGATAAAATCACTAGCATTAGGCAGTCCTCCAGTTCTACTAATCCCGACCCAGATGATATTCCTCTGCATTCTGCTGTCTTTGATCAGTTTGAGCCTGTATCCTTACCTCTGCTATGTGAACTGGTTCACCACAAGAAAGCATCTCACTGTTCTTTGGATTGTTTGCCAGCTAGACTGTTTAAGGATGTTTTTGACTCTGTTGGGCCTAGCTTTATAGCTCTGATTAATTTATGTTTAGGGACAGGCTCAGTTACAGATGCTTTTAAAAAGAGCAATTGTCCAGCCTCTTGTCAAAAAAGCCAACTCTTGATCCTTTAGTGTTTTCTAATTTTAGACCAGTGTCTAAATTATCTTTTATGTCTAAAGTTCTGGAGAAGATTGTTTTTATACAACTTCAGTCTTTTTTAACAGATAATGGCATTGAGGAGCAATTTCAATCTGGCTTTAAATCAAAACATAGTACTAAGCCTGCAGTATTAAAAATCAGTAACGATATCCTGTTGGCTAGGGATGCCGGGGATTCAGTTTTATTGGTGCTTTTAGATCTCACTGCTACTTTCAATACAGTGGAGCATGGAATCCTCTTATCTCGTTTGGAGCAGTGCATAGGAATTCAAGGTACTGTTCTTAACTGGTT